GAATGTAGGGACCATGAACCACTGGAGGTAGTGAATGTCCAGGGGACATTAGAAGGTAGGGACCATGAGCCACTGGAGGTGGTGAACGTCCAGGGGACATCAGAAGGTAGGGATTATAAGCCACTGGAGGTGGTGAACATCCAAGGGACATCAGAAGGTAGGGACCATGAACCACTGGAGGTGGTGAACGTCCAGGAGACATCAGAAGGTAGGGACCATGAGCCACTGGAGGTGGTGAACGTCCAGGGGACATCAGAAGGTAGGGACCATGAGCCACTGGAGGTGGTGAATGTCCAGGGGACATCAGAAGGTAGAAATCATGAACCAATGATATGGAAACTAGTGGATGTGAGTAGCCCAGTCTTCACCATGGCCCACCCTCGCCTGTCCTTGACGTGGGGCCCAAGCGCAGGAAAACCAGCCCAAAAATCAGCTGGTACTCTGCCTGAGGCTGTGCCTCCTGCTCTTGGGATGGCCCACATTCCTACTTACCCATGTCTTCCCTGCTTACCCCACAGCTGCTCATGTGAGGTGCACACTCTCCCTTGAATATGTCTGCTTTCCCAAACAAATCTGTGCCTCTGGCTGAAGAGTCCTTAAGTTCATTTCTATAGTATTTGTCAAGAACCTACCTGTTCTGAGTTGCAGTCCCCTGTGGGAACTCCCAGACCTCCCTCAGTGGTACCCTTCCATCACACCCAGTGTGCAGACCACTGAGCCACCAACCTGGGCAGGTTCACCCAAGTGCTTTTCTTTCTGCCTTGCTATGACTTACTCAGTCTAAACTCCTATACTTCTAATCAATCAATCAATTTATCCCTCTCTCTCTTTCTTTCCTCCATCCATCCCCTCTTTTCTCCCCACTCTTTTACTTTTTTTGTGGGGGAGAGGCAGGTGCTGGGAATGAACCCAGAGCTACTTTACCACTGAGCCACATCCCAAGCCCTTTTTATCTTTTATTTTGAGACAGGGCCTTGCTAAGTTACCCAGGCTGGCCTTGAACTTACAATCCTGCCTCAGCCTCTCAAGTTTCTGGGACTACAGGTATGTGCCATCTTGCCATGCTCAGCTTTTTTCGAAGACCAAAGAACATAAACTCAGTCTGCCTGTTGACCGTAGGCCCCCTTCTTGGGTGGCTGGGAAATCCCCATGCTGTGAAGATTCAGGAGGCTATAAGGTGCAGGTTGAAGCCATCTTTGAGATCCAGAAGGAGCTGTGAAGAAGCTCTCTGGTCTTTTTCTTTCCAATTATTCCCTTCTTCTCTTTTCTCTGACACTGCAGCTTCAGGGTTAGCTATATGAGGTGTGCACTCTCTGCCTCTGTGATGTCTGTCTTTGCTAAGGTCTGTTACCTTAATCCAGAGCTGGCATGTCAACTCTGTGAGCCATCTCCCTTGTTCACTTGACACCTGACTCAGAGGGCCCAGCTGCTCTGAGTCTTGGAGCAAGACATCAGCCATAAATTTTCTTTTTGGGGGGACAAGGTGGAGGGATACTGGGATTGAACTCAGAGGTACTTGACCACTGAGCCTCATCCCCAGCCCTATTTTGTATTTTATTTAAAGACAGGGTCTCACTGAATTGTTTAGTGCCTTGCTTTTGCTGAGGCTGGCTTTGAACTCGTGATCCTCCTGCCTCAGCCTCCCAAATCACTGGGATAACAGGCTTGCGCTACTGCACTGGCTGTAAATTGATTTTCTATTGAAGTTTACCTTATCCCAAAATGGGTTCAGATTCCCTTAAAAACCTCACAAGTTCTTTGTGTCCTCATTATTTGTACAATTGTAAGTTCTCAAGAACACCTATGCTATTTGAGATCTCAGGAATATTGTTTTCATCAGGACCCTGAAAACATAGTTCAGTAGATCCTGGGATTTCCAGGAATGCCTGGAAGCAGAAAATGCAGGGGTTTGCAGAAAGCCTGAGCCTGGGCTGCTCAATGCTGAGTCCAAGAGGCCTCCAGATGCAGGGACACCGATGACTGATAGGTGGCAGTGTGGGACCGACTATCCATGCCACCACAAGCCCCAGGACTCCTGGAGCACCTTGAGGATACAGTGTGGGACAGATCAAAGTCTCTGGAAACTTCCAAGGACTCCAGTAAAACTGGACTATAGGAGAGGCATGCGTCCCTCTCCTCTGAGAGGACCCATTCTCTCCCTTGAGTGTGTCCCCTTTCCCATTTACTATCTCTTCAATAAACTCATGTCTGTTAGTGGGAGCGACCTATCTGAAATCTTTCAGACCTGATTGTAACAATCGGGGTTTAAAGGAGGGTCTTTGCACAGCCTTAGGTTCCCAGAAAGCCCAGCTCTATGCCATTCTTGCTTCATGGATTTTACTACTGCAATGATGTGCTAAAGGTTCAAGGCAACGCTTGTCCCTGGCCCACCAGTTCTAGTTGGAACTGGTTTTTTACAGATTTTATGGTGGCGAGCTTTGCTTCTGCCTATCCTGGCTCCCTGAGTCCTGGCATCTGCTCTATGTAAAGGTCACCCAAGACTCCCTGAGGGCTGACTTGTGTTCTTCTTATCAGTCTGCATTTCTCGAGCACTTAGCGGTATTTGCTGAGGAATGTAACATTTCCTATTGGCTTTACTGAGTGGTCTCTGTAAATGCTTTCTAAAAGAAATCCAGTGGGGTTCAGATCCCCTTAAAAGCCTCACAAGGTCTTTGTGTCCTCACTACACTGTCAGGGCAGTCTATAGACTGGCCCTCTCAACCTCGTTCCTTTGCTAAGGTCTACCTAGCACTACCAGTTTTTACTCTCCACCAGCCTCCTCCCAGCCTTCCTTCCACCCTTCCTCCACCCTTTGCTAACCCTGTGCAGTCACTGTTACAATCAACCTTTTGTTGGGATTATAGCTTATGCTACCACACCTGGCTTCCACTTCTTAACACTATCGCATTGGGTTATAGGTTCCAACACAGGAATTTTGAAGAAACACATACATTCTAGTCAAAGCTGAGTCTGACCTCATAGGGAAAAAAAACCCTGTGTCCTTTAATTATATCTACAGTTCTGGCAACAGAATAGGCACTTAAACAGTTAACTCATGTGGCTAGGAGGCAGACAAGTATGGCAGGGGCTGCCAAAGTTCAAGTTCCCACAAGGGGTTGCTAGCGCGCACGAGGGCCTGGGTTCATTCCTGGTACTAGAAAGAGAAGGGGAAAGGAAGAATCAAGTTCCTTGGATTTGGAAGGCCCTGCCCAACCCCCCAACCCCCCCCCCCCCCCCGACCACCGGAAGAATAAGCCAAACACAAGAGGAAAGGCTGGAACCTCCCGCGCGCCTATCACAGCGCTCACCGGGAACTTGTAAACGGAACTCCACCAGCCCTAGCGATCACGGCCAGGCCCCTTTAAGGGAGACGGGGTGGATCCCTGCCTTGAATCGCTTGCTAAGAGCACCGGCCAATGGGAGAACCGACCAATGGGAGGACCTGCCAATAGGAGGACCGACCAATGAGAGGTCCCGCCTGCGTGCGCGGTCCGGGGCGGGGCTTGCGTGCGGTGAGACGCTAAAGCCCTCGGAAGTGCGGGGGATTGGAGGTGAGCGCGGCGCATGTGCCCCGCCGTGGGAGAACTGCTGGGGTGGGTGCGGGCAGCCGGCCTTAGGGGTGTCGGGGGACGGCCTCCCTGTCCCGGGCACCCCGGGTCAGGGTCCCGCCCCGCCCAGAGGCCGCGGGCGGCCGGCAGTGAGGGCCTGGTGGCGCCGACTCTAGTTTGCGCGCCCCGTAGGTGGGCCTCTGGGCATGAAGAAAGGCGGGACTGTATCTGTTTCGGGCAACAGAAGCCTTTTCTGAACCGGGGCAGTTCTTGTGGTAGCTCGTTCGTCAAGACAACCACCAGAATGTTAAATTTGAAATTTGTCTTTCAGGTGATCAGAACCACATAATGTCAATAGCTCGATCATCGGTCCATGCCAAATGGATCGTAGGAAAGGTGATTGGGACAGCAATGCAGAAAACCGCTAAAGTGAGGGTGACCAGGCTTGTTCTGGATCCCTACTTGTTAAAGGTGAGGAGCATATCTGTTTTAGGTGGCAGTCATAGCTCACCAATATTTTATGGGTTCTACATTTCCCTGTAAGAAGAATGTGTGGAGTCTCCACTGCAAGCCAGGTACTGCCCTGTCCTGTGGATATGACTTTGTTGTCACTCATATCCAGGAGCGCAGAGTTAATTTCAACAGTATAACTACTGTGGTCAGTCTATAAGTAAAGCACCTTGGGAGCAGAGAACGGCACCCTCTTCCCAGATTACCCTGAGAGAGCATCCTCAATTAAGAGACATTTACACGGAATTTCACATGAGATTTTTATACCAAGGACCATATGGGGGGAGTCATTCACCAAACTTCTGCTGAAGTTTGCAGAAGTTCATTTGGCCACCATAGGTGTGACATTCAACAGCAAGTGGCCTGGCGAGATGGAGCCCAGGCACTCTTGTGAATGAATGGCAAAGACAGTTGGAGCTGAACTGCAAAGGGTGTTCTGTGGTTTGGATTTTATCTGTTAATTAAATGAAAGACAGACTTGGAGACATAGGAATGGGGATGAGGACTGGAGGTAAGGGAATGGGATATAGAAGCCATTGCACAAATTTTGGATGGAAATGGACCTGAACTAAAACTGGAGCAGTAGGCATGCAGTGGGACAAGCAGATTTCAGGAAGAATGAACAGAGTCATGGACTTGTTAGATGTACACAGAGAGRAGGGCAGGTACCAAGGATGGTTTTTGCATTCAAAGTTGGGCCCACAGGTAGTCAGGAATGCTGTTCATTATCTGCGAACAAAAGCACAGGAGAAAGCCAAAGAGTGGTGTGTGTGGTATGGTCATTGGCCTTGGAAGACCTTGGCTTGAATGCTGACCCTTATCAGCTGTGCATGTTTCATGACTCTCAGCCTGCTTTTCTCTCTATAAAATGGGAATTCTTGCAACAGTTAGGATGTTATGAAAAATAGGTAATTCCAGTGTAATATTTATTCTCTTGATAACTTTAGAGCCTCCCCCTTGCCTTTTTTTTTTTTTTTTTTTTTTTTTTTTTTTTTGAAACAGGATCCTGCTAAGTTGCTGAGGTTGGGCTGAACTTTAATCCTTCTGCTTCAGCTTCCCAAGTTGCTGGGAAAATACAAACAGGCTTTGCCTCTCCCATCTTAGAGCCTCTTTTTATGGTTTGAAGTGGTTAAGTGACTTGCAGCTAGTGGAGAGAGTAGAATGTTTGTAGGCTGAAGGGAGGCTTCAGGGGAAGAACATTTAATGCAGGGAGAGATGACAATGGATAGGGCAAGGGAATGGACTGGAGACCCAAGGACAAGACCAGCTCTGGAAAATCCATGCTGGCTTTCCAGGAATTAGGCAGCTAGTCTCTGTACTAGTGGTCTTTGCATCCTACCTTCTTGTCCCCAAGTCCTGGCTTGTTCTGTGTTTTAGTTTTTCATATTCTACACTGCATTGTCTGGTCACTGATTTGTTCCTCTCCTTCTCTCAACAGTATTTTAATAAGCGAAAAACATACTTTGCTCATGATGCCCTTCAGCAGTGCACTGTTGGGGATATTGTGCTTCTCAAAGCTTTACCTGTTCCACGAACAAAGCATGTGAAACATGAACTGGCCGAGATTGTTTTCAAGGTTGGCAAAGTCATTGATCCGGTGACAGGAAAACCCTGTGCGGGAACCACCTACCTGGAGAATCCCATCAGTTTGGAAACTAATTACCCCAAAACTCCAGAAGAACTCAATGTTTCTTCATCACCGTGAAGGAGTGGAAGAAGGAGCCAAAGGGAAAGATCTATGTTTGCTTTATGGGGAAAAAAAATTTCAGTTTCGTTCCAAACTGTGTCCAATTTTTCTTATTTATTTTTTCATTCAAAGGAATCTTGAATTTCTCTAAGCCTCTATTAGAGAAGAAAACCCTTCAATATAAACTGATATGGTCATATTCTCTGATGGTATCTATTCAAAATTAAATATTTTTTTCTCTGATTTCACCAACTCACAAGGGAAACAGTCAATATGTTTGTGGTCAAATTTTAAAAGACTTGAGCTGTATTAATAAGAATGTTGACATGTAGAAAATAAAATTTTAGACATTGTGTTGTTTATATCCTAGGCTAGATGAAGTGGGCATGAGTTCTTAAAATGTGAAACATTAAGTTGTGGGACTTTTAATGTATTTAAGTTGGAGATTTCTGGGTTTTGTGGCAATGTGTTAATAAAGTGGGATAACTTAGATTCTGACCTGAGGAAATACTGAGCTGTGTATCTCAGTTTTCAGGTTCCTAGAAAGAGACTTGGGATATATTTCAACCTCAGCTAATATGTGTGTTAAATAACAGGGTTTCAGTGATGGCCACAGGCATTGTTCATAGGGCCTCAACAAGGCAGGGAAGTATGTATAGGTGCCTTCATGGCAAACAGAATCTTTTAGGGGAGAGGTGGTTTTGTTGTTTTGTTTTGGTACTAGGGATTGAACCCAGGGTCACTTTACCACTGAGCTACATCCCTAGCCCCCTTTTTATTTTTTGAGACAAGTTCTCACTAAGTTGTTTAGGGCCTCGCTAAGTTGTAAGGCTGATCTCAAACTTGCAATCCTCCTTCAGATTCCCTTGTCACTGGGATTACAGATATACATCACCATGCCCTGCTGTTTGTTTTTGAGGTGCTAGGGATTGAACCCAGGACCTTGCATATGCTCGGAAAGCACTTTACCACTGAGTCCTAGGGGAGCGTTTAGAGCATTTTCCCAGGAGAAATGAGACAGTGTTAAGAGTCTTTTGGGGTAGGGGGTGGGCAGTGTTGGCAATGAACCCAGGGATGTTTAACCACTGAGCTACATCCCCAGTCCTTTTTATTTTGAGACAAGGTCTTGCCAAGTTGCCCAGGGTCTTGGTAAGTTGCTGACCAGCCTTGAATTTGAGATCCTCCTGCCTCAGCCTCCAAAGTTCAAGGATTATAGGCCTGTACCATCACACCCGGCTAGAACTGAATCTTGAAGTCTTTGGGGTAGTAGTGGTTATGAAAAGGGTGTTGGGGCAGAAGGAAGGGCATATAAAACTCCGAGTGAGAGAAAGCATAAGCAGGGGTTCTAAAAGCAGGAGAAAGTTATTGGGACATTTCAAACACAAGTGGAACTAGAGAAATAAGAGTTACACTCTAAATGACAGTGGATTATTTGAAGTTCTAAAAATGGTAGTTTCATTTCAATAAAAGTTAAATAGCACCAGTGTCGAAAATGCACCAGAAGGAGAAAGATAAGCTGATATCTTGAGGCCTAAACTGGATAGCTGAGGTTGCAAAGTGGAGTTCTTAGTGTAGTGTCAGGATAGGTGAGCAAAGGAAGCAGTATCTAAGTGGCTGCAGGTAGAGCTTTGTGACACTGGTTAGTTGGGAAGGGTTCATGAAGAGCATCTCATGCTTCCCCAAGTGGTCTCCGAATAGATGACAGGACACCTGTACCATCAGTTCTGGGACAGAGTCCAAGCCATCTATAAACTGTTTTAAAGGTTTATGTATACTCTGGAATGTATTTTTATTTAAACAAAAATTTCATGGGTTGGGGTGTAACTCCTACTAGAGCAGGAGGCTGGGATTCGATCCCCAGCACAGAAGGGGGAAAAAAAAAAAAAAACCTCATTGTGTATATGAAGGCATGTCTCATCCACACCTGCTCTGCAGGACTGGGACAAGCCTCCCTTTGGGTCTACATAAGCTCACTAAACCGATGCTAGTTGAGGCAGAGAACTCCCTTGGCCACTCAACTTATTCCCATTGACCTCCAAACACAAGTGCCTCTCCCCAGGCAAATTGTTATGATGCCTCCTCCACCCACAGGACCCATCCCTGCCCCAAATGGTTGCTTCCCCTATTATGCTTACATTCTGCCTCAGTCACATAGCTTTGCCCCTTGGTCCCCAGTAGTGGCAGCTTCAGAAAACTTAGCCAAGAAACCCAGTTTTTGCCTCCACTGTTCCTATGCAGAAATCTCCAAGCGGCCCAGGCTGGCCTCCCTGGAATGCTCCCCTTTGGCAGCTGGGGCCTGCTCTACCCGGTCACTCGCTTCTTCCGCTTTGTGACCACCTCTTTCTTCTCGCCTGTGTTGGTTGAAGTGTTCGTCGTGGTTACATCTGTGCCTTTTTTATCTTCCCACGAATAAAGTTTTCCCTACACAGTGCCACAGAGACCCGTGCCTGTTGCTTAGGTTCCTTCCCCCAGTAGTGCTCTGCCTTCTTCCACTGACGGAGCGGCCCAGCCAGCCCCTCCAGGAGCTCTCCCTTCGGTGCAGACCTCGCGTCGTGTGAACACCTGACACTCCATCCAGTTATTCACGCTGGTTCCCACCAGACTGGACGGCTTTGGGACGGGCGCCAGGGCTGCCGGTGGCCAGCACCGTCTGGTGCCAAAATGCACGGGCAGTGTGGTCTACACTACCGGAGCTAGGCATGTGTCCCCGGGCGCTTGGATTAGGATGTGGCTGATTGCAACAGTAACGTTCTCTCGGTGCCGCACTCCGCAGCGGACTAGGAGCGCCGAGCTTCGGGAAACACCTGCCTCATCTGCGGCTCTGCTCGCGCTGCGCGCGCCGCTGCCCAAACACCCGGCGCCGCCGCCGCCTCACGCGGCTCCCTCAGGCCTCCGGCGGCAGCTCCCCCTGGCGGCGGCGGCGCTCACTGCGGCGGCCGCGGGGCCCGGCGCGGGGACGGGGGGGTCGCGGCGGCGGCGGCGGCGGCTCCCGAGCAAGATGGCGGCGCGAGTGCTGTGCGCGCGCGCGGCGGCCGGGGCCGGGGGCCTGCTGCGGGCCGCGCCCTGCGGGCTCCGGTGAGCGGCGCCGACCTTCCGGGAGCGGCCGGGGTGGGGCCCGTGGCGGGGCCGGGCCCGGGGCGGCGGGGCTGCCGCGCCAAGGTCAGGAGGAGGCCTGCGGGCCGCTGGGTGACGGCGGCGCTCGCGGCGGGGCGGGGGCGGCCGGGGCGCGGCCGGTCCTGCAGGAGTGGCCCCGCCGCCCGGGCCCCGGGAGGCCGGCTCCGCTCCTGTGCTCGGGACCCGCGCGCTGCGCGTTCGCCGCGGCTGTCCGTCAGGGCGCCGGAGAGCGCGCGCACCCCCGAGCTGTCCGTCTCGGCGCCGGTCCCGCGGCGGTGGACCCGGCGTTGCGTGGCTGGTCGGCCGAGTGTGGGGAGCGACCTGCAGGGAGGAGCGGGTGTGCGCCTCGGGCGGAGGCGCCCGGAGCCGGCCGGACCGGGTAGGCACTGCCGGCGGGGCCCAGGGAGCGCCCTTCCTGGACTGGTGTGCGGCCTGTGGGCCCCGTGTCCAAATCTGACGTTTATGTTTCCAGGATGGTTCACATAACAACTTCTTATTTTTATCGCCATCTGCATCTACCTGTGGCTTTTTGCTTTTTTTTTTTTCCCTCCCCCGCACCAGTGATATGAGCCCATCGATTTTGTATTTTGTTATTTGAAAAAGAGGCAGCTGAAACTGAAGGTGTGCACCCCACAGGTTTGCCCCAGGCCCAAGGTCACAGAGGTAGCACACTGGGGATTTGGACCTGGGTCTGCCCAGCACACCGCTGTGCTGGGCCATGACCAGCTGGTTCTTTGATGACCCTCCCAGGTTCCCCTATGCTTTGTGACCACTTGTTCCTAGCCTCTGGCCTGCCTTCACGGAAGGCATTTCCAGGACTGCACCTAGACCCAGTTAATTTGCTAAGTCGTGTGTTGCACTGTGTAATGTGTGAAGCCCCATGGAACTGGCATGATAGCCAGGGCCACTGTACCTGGGAAGGATCGTTGGAGGTAAACCTACAGACTACAGCTAGGGCATGTTCAGAGAGAGAAGACCAGGGAGACTTGTGCAAATTCATGTGAGGCCTTGCCAAGAAAGTGACATTGAGCTGAGACCTGTGTGAGAAAGACTTGAGTGGGAAGGAGTCAGAAACCCAAGGAAAGTCCATAAGGCTGCAATCAGCAGTAAAGGGAAGAGGCGGCAAGGAACACCGCCGTGTAACCTCAGGCCTTATAGGCTTGGACTTTATTCTGAGAGGTATGTAAATATAAGATTTTAGTGTGACATGATATGTTTCTTTAAAAAGTAGTCTTATTTTGGAGAGAGGACAGAAATAAAGTTAATGACCAAGTGAGAGGATACTGGTGCCATTTACCTAGAGTCATTTGTTCCTTAAATATGTAAGTGCTGCCCTGTGCCAGGCACTGATGGCTATTGGGAACATCAGTGCATAAGGAGCACACAGCTTTTTGGGAGCTTGCTGGTGTTGCAGAGAGGAGGAAAGGGGAACAGTTGAGAATCTTGTCAAGTTTCAGGTGACTGCATGCTTTCCAGATGGAAAAACCAATAGCCAGCTGGCTGTATGACTCCTCAGAGGAGATGTCTAGGCTGCAGGCAACATGTGGGAGTTACCAGCATATAAGAAGCCACTTATTGATAGATGAGGTTTTGTTTCTTTCTGTTGTTGTTGTTGCAGTGCTAGGGATTGAACCCAGGGCCTAGAGCATTCTAGGTAGGCACTCTACTCCAGCCTGACATGTGTTTCATTATACTGTTTTATATTGGGTCAAAAGTTTTCATAGTAAAGTACATTTAAAACCCATAGGGATAGATGAGGTTACTTGAAAGAGAGTGGATATGGATGGTTAAAAGGCTGAGAAATAAACCCTGGTATGTGCCAACATTTTCAGGCTGGATGAAGGAGAGGGGCAGCAAGGGAGACTGGGAGAGAGCAGCCAGCAGGTCGTTGTTGCCTGACAGCTGCCAGAGGGAGGCATTTCAAGGAGGGAGTCCATCTGCTGTGCCAAATACTGCTAGAAGGTTAAGTAAGATGACAGAAGAAAATGGAATTTACCAACAGGGGTGTTGTGGGTGACCTTGAAGATCAGTTTCAGCGAGGAGGTTGTCCTGGGAGACTTAGCCAACACATGTTCCCTAGCTGTGCTCAGCACCAGGCCCAGCATTCGCAGCTGCTTCCTGCACACGTGCACTGGTGTCCCACAGGTGCTGGAAAGGCTTATGTACCTGGGACTTAACTCCTACTCCACAAACAAAGCCTGCTGCTCCTGGGTGGTATTCCCAAGCCCCCCTGCTCTTCCTTCACATATGTCAGTTCTGCCTGGAGTGTGCCTTGGCTCTCCCTCCTACATCCCCTCCACCCTCTCAGCGTGACTGTCAGCAACACTCCATGTGCATTGCTGTGACGAGTGTGTACTTGAACACAACCAAAGGATTTTAAGACACAGGGCCTGTGGAGCATACCTGTACCCCCAGCTGCTCCAAGGCTGAGGATCGAAAGTCCAAGGCCAGCCTGAGCCCTGTCTCAAAATAAAATTTAAAATTGGGCTCTAGCTCAGTGGTAGAGCACTTGTCTAGCACATGGGAGGCCCTGGGTTCAAACCCCAGGCCTGGAGGAAAAGAAAAGAAAGAATTCTTTTGGGGGGGGGCAATTTGGGGCATTGAAAATTAAATCCAGGAGTGCTTTACTACTGTGCTACATCCCCTGCCCTGTTTTATATTTTATTAGAGACAGGATCTCACTGAGTTGCTTAGGATCTTGCTAAGTTGCTGAGGCTGGGTTTGAACTCATAATCCTCCTGCCTCAGCCTCCCGAGTTGCTGAGATTACAGGCATGGGCTACCCTGCCTGGCCTCCAAACACTTGTTATATTTTATTTTGAGACAAGGCCTAACTAAGCTGCCCAGTCTAGCATCAAACTTGATCCTCCTGCTTCAGCCTCCTGAGTCACTGGGATCACAGGTATGCATCACCATACCTGGCTCTTTTTTTTTTTTTTAATTATTATAAAGGTCTCTATTATATAAATCTTGACTGTATCCTAATCCTTCTTCCATTTTTCCTCCATCACCCCTGCCAAGAAAAGCATAAAAGACATTTAGGGAACAATTAGGGACATTTTAAGTAGGGAATAGATACTAGATATTATGGAATTATCTTTCTTAGATAGCATTGTGGATTTCTTTGTTCTTAGGAGATACACACTGCAGTATTTAGAGGTRAAGTGTTATGTCTACATTATTTTCAAATAGTTCTGTAAAAATTTTTTCAAAAATGTAGAACAGAGAGGAGACAAAGAGATAAGAGGGTAATAGGGTGGATATAGTCAGCATGGGTGATGTGCATGTAAGAAAATGCCACATGGGAAGCCCATTATTTTATATACTTAATATGTGCTAGTTATCACATATTTTTAAACAACAATCTGGGAGAAGAAATACAGAGAAAAATTTAAAATGTGGCATGCTAGGGATGCAGCAGTACTGCAAAACAGAAAAGGTAGCATGTTAATTGTTCTAGAGGTGGGGCACAGGTTATTTTACTTCAACTTCTCTGTGTTTGAAGTTCTTCCACCTCTGTCAGATTCACTGGGGTGGGGGCAGATGGGGCAGCAGGTGCTGTCTTGATGCAGGACCCTGGACAGGCCCTTGAGCCTGCTCCAGCTCTGGCTGGTGCTTCCCCAGCCACAGCACTTGCTTGCCCCTGGCTTCCACAGGCTCTGGTTTTTCCTAGTGTCCTTCCTCCCTGGAAGTCCCCCTGAGGGACTGCTCTTCCCCTTTCAGGTTTGCACTTAACGAGTGCTGGCTCAGGTAACCAGGTTCCACCTGCGTGATCCCCACACTCGTACCTGTGTCTGGACCAGGGCCTCTCTCCCACAGGGATCGTGTTTGTTTCCTCCCAACAGCACACTGCATTTTGTGGAACCAGGCTGGGTTTTCAGCCACCTGTGGGCCCAGCCAGTGCCAGCACGTGTGCAGTGAGCGTTTGAGGGTCAGGTGAGTGAGGCCCAGGGTGTACTGCTTCCCAGCCTGAGGTCTACATGCAAATGGACTTCTCTTCCCCGATTTGCCCTGCACCCCTGACCAGGACCTGTTTCAGTCTTTTCACCTTGGACATGTCTTTTGAATGTGTTCTTTCCCTTCGTCCCTACTGCCATCATCTTGACCCTGGGCCACCTCTGGGTCCATCCAGTGCGTGTATGTTGAATACCTCCTTTGAGCTGTTGCTGCTGGGCATGGCCACCAGTGGGGAGCCCAGGAACCACAAGCCCTGCCTTCATCACTGCTGCTGTCCACCACACCACTGCCAGGCTGCTGCTTATACTTTTTTGAAAACTTTCCAGCATAGCACCATGTTCAGGAAAAAACCCAGCTGATGGTCCTGGTGCACAGAGCCTCACCACCCATCCCTTTTGTCCTCCTGTCACCCCTCTCCATCCTCCTGCTCTGTTTTTCTGCCTTATTGAGCTCTTTGCTGGTCCAGAAACATGCCTTTTAGCTCTAAGACCCCATGCCCTTGTGCACATTGCTCCCTTTAGAATCATCGCCTTCCTCATCCACCTATCTTGCCTGCCCTCCAAGATGGCTGGGATGTCTCTGCTGAAGTCCCTCGGGCTCCTGAGTCCAGCCGGTGCCTTGTCCCCTTCAGCTCCCACCACGCGTCTATAGTGCCTGAGATCGCTCTGGCCCTGACATTGAGCAGGCTCGTCTGGTCCAACCTGACATTCACAGAGCCTGGCCCATGAGTCACTTCCATCTGAACTCTGGTGTTCTGCAGAATGTGCTTCCCGCTGCCCTCTGTAAAGTGCCACCTAACATGTGACCTTGGCAATTGTCACTGTCACAGAGAACCTAGGCCTTGCCTGGCAGTCACTGGCATAGCTGCTGCTTCCTCCTTCTAGGGTTTGGCCTAGACAGCTGCATGGACTAGGCACATCAGGCAGCATTAGGCACCTGACCTTCAAAAGATTCAAAGTGTGACAGTCAGTTGAGGGTGAGATTGTGCCAGAATGTTTTAATTTGCCAACGTAGTTGCCACTCAGGCTCACAAACATTTGCATCAGAGATTCTTGTGTGCCGCTTGACTATTTCTTAGTCTCATTCCCTGCTCTCTCTTTCATTTGTGAAATATTTCCACATCCCTTACCTCATTTTATCCATCCTAAGGTGAATCCCTTTTACTAAAATATGGCAACAAACACCATCTGCTGATTTTTGCTCAGATGAGGAGGTTTCTAATTGGGAGCAGTCCCTGAGGAGCAAGAACATTTTGAGCTTTATAGTAATAGCTGAATTCCTGTTTTTATTTGGCTCAGGTTGTTGTGCCTCTCTGAGCCAGTTTTAAAATGCAGTATCCACCTCGCTAGAGTGTTTTGAGGACCAAGGAGATGATATAGACAAAATACATAATTCAGTCCCCAGTAAGAAGTATATATTTGTT